ATGTTCAGTATTTATTGCTATTTCCATTTTTAAAGTCATAAGCCCTGTACGAAAATACATCTCTGTTTTGCTTGGGTTTGGTGTGTTGGGTTTTGTTTGTTTGGATTTTTTATATGTATCTATCTTTAGGAGTTAGACAAACATCCCAGCACATGTGTGGCAATAAGCATGTGACTCAACCCTTCTACAGCCACAGATGTCTCTCCCTCCTAATTAAATGTGTGCTAAAAAGGTCTGTTGGAGCAAAGCCCAGTAATGCAGGTTTGAGCTGCAGGTCCAAAAGTGCTGCTAACAAGCAGATCTAGAATTATAGACCTGTCAGCTTAACTGTGGTTCCTGGGAAAACACTGGAACAAATCACCAAACTATTGGAGAGCACCTAGAAGAAATTGAGGGGATGACTAACAGGCAGCATGATTTTTTTTTTTTTTTTTTTTGAGGCTCATACTCAAAGGTTTGAGTTCTGAAGCTGCTTCACATGTGCCTTTATAATGATTACATGGCTGAAAATATATTAATGCAAAACTGGTTGGCAAATTGATAGGGATCTATCTTTTGTTTACACCTGTGGAATGGCTGAGGCAAGAGAGCATGCAATTTAAACTTGCAGTTGGCAACGCTTCGGAAAGGCTGTGAGCACAGTGGGCAGGTTACAATTCAGTGTGGTGCTTGCAAGTGGACAGGTGCTAAGAACCCCATCCAAATCAGCTTGCCATGCAGCTGGGACAGTGCTTTGTCCCTCTGCTGATACAGATTTGTGTGTTGCAATAAACTCTTCATGTAGGTTATTCTCTAGTTATGACAGGGTTGGGACCAACAGCTCCAGTGTAGTTGACTTATCAATGAGGATGAAAGCTGTTGATGGCTCACAAGCTGACCATCAATAAACAACAGCATGCTGTTACAGAAGAGGCACATGAAGGGTGAGCAGGACTGCTCCCCTGTGGCCAGGGCAATAATGCAGCAAGCAGGAGCATTTGCTTTTGCCTAGGGTACTTCCAAGCTGAGCTGGACTGGGTTGAGTGGGAAAAGGAAGGCAGGAAGACTGATCCAAGGTCCAAAAGGCTTGATTTGCTAGGGAAGGTGGAGGGGTCTCATCCTCAGGAGAGGGAGGCTGAGGGCAAGACTGTTTCTCCCCAAAACGCTGTCAGGCAATAATTTGGTGTTCCTGGCCCTGGCAGTTAAGACAAGAATCTTTGGGATAAATTGCTTCCAGGGAAAATCAGGGCACTTTGGTTTTAGTAACTAATCTGGTACTAAGGGAGTGTGAAGGACTGGAGCAGATTTCCTGGGAGAGATCTGTAACTCCTTCAAAATAAGCTGGACCCGCTCTCAGGAATGGCCTATGCTTGTCCTCCCCCAGCCAGGCCAGTGGACTAACTACTCTCTGGAAATTCATTCTAGACCTCTGGTTCTTCTAGGGCTGATTTACACCCATCTACCAGCATGAATTGAGGTTGATTTAACCAAATCAGAGCCATAATCCCATCCCAATGGAAAGGGAACCTTGTCTTCTCAGGAATGCAGCTTTAGTTGCCCAAGGTTTTCATTCTGGGAGTATTGAATGCGTAAGTGTAACTCACTTGAGTAACAAGTATTAAATGTGTGAGTGCAGAGAAGAACAGGGTAGGAGGATGCTTGCAGCTACAAGGAAATCGCAATATCTAACCTGAAACCCACTTGACAATTAGTGTGTGAAGTCCAAGTTGCTGATTTTGTTGCACTCTGCCTCAGCCCTCAGTGATGGTTTTGGAGGCTGAGAGAGAGCAGCAATGTAGAGCAGGTTTCTGACAGCTCTCCAAGCGGCAGAAGTAGTACTACAAATAGGGAATAACCAAGGTAGCTGGACTTTTTGCTTTGCTTCATAAACAAGCTGCCAAGAAAGTGTTTCACTGAATTCTTCTCATTAGGAGAACTGGCTAACTGGGGAGCAACCAATGTCTAATGGGCTTGATCTCAGTTGCCTAAACCTAAGCTCTCAAAAATGTTACGGTTTCTTTGACAGAAATGTTCAAGTTCACATGTTGTGGCATGATCAGTCAGCAGCGTTATCCATAGCCTGTCTGGCATACCAGTGGCTCCTGGAACACTGGATTAGGGCTCCAGAGCCTGTGGCTTTCTCTTTTCTCCAGGTCATACTCTGTAATGCTCCTATCAGTTTCACTGCCCTGTCTGTGCAGGGAGATTTCTCACATGCACTGGAAAAGAGGCAGAGGAGTGGGAGCCCTCTTCTGGAAAAGGATTCAGCCCCAGCAGTGGGTATTTGAGGTTTTGGTCGGTGTTTGAGGTTTGACCTGCTGGCCCTAGCCAAGAGAGAGTTGTTACTCAGTGTCTCCTTGGAGCTTGTCAGTGGGGAATGGTATTTCAGGCTCTGCCTTGGGCTGGCCTGTGACACAGTGCAGTGCAAAGTGCATCCAAGTGGCACAGGGGAAACTTGTCAGTTGTTCCTTATTAAAAAAAAAATATTTAAAAGGCTAAATTAACTCACCTACCCATAAGACATGCTGCTTGCAGTTGTGGTTTTTCATGCTTCTCAGAGCTGATACAACAGCATTGCCCATAGTTATTTTTTGGTGGGTTTTTTTTTCATCCCTAGGGAATGGCAAAATAAATTAGACACATTATAGCAAACTAATCTTGTGACTTCACATTTCGGAGTTGCTGTGCTGTGGAAGTGCAATCCAGGCTCTCTGCACAGATGCTGCCTGTGGCAGTCACTGTTCCAGTGCTGTTTGCTCACAGATGAGCAGCTGTAAATGGGCCAGGTTCCCTCTCGTGAGGCTGTGGGGACAGGCATTGGGATGGAGGGGTGCCCCCCCCTCCAGCCTGGCACTGGGGAAAGCTGCTCCTCAGGGAAATCTGCTACTTGGAGAGATTATTTCCCCCTGCCTTGCACTTGTCAGTGTGGAGATTGTCTCAGCTTATTTCAAAGTCAGTTTTAAGCCTTTTAAATGAGCTTTACACTGACACACCAATAGGGTGTTTATATCTGCTTTTGGCACTATCTATTTAGAGAGATGAAAGCAAAAGTTAACACCAACTTTCTCTCTCCCTGCCTAAAATCAAGGTAAAGGCTTGTGAGGAAGGCCTGTGGCTCCTTAGAGCACATGCTGTGTCCTGTGGTATGACAGTAGTGACATCCCATAACTGACATGGTGCCAATTGCAAATACAGCTTCCCTAGGGCAGAGCTCAGCACAGCCTGTGTGGCACCTCCATGGGGCTGGTGCTGTGCCAGCCTGGGACAGTTCAGCCTCATCCTGCTCTGCCTCTCCTTCCATGCCTTGTGCACCCCTGCAGCCCTCCCTGTGAGCTCTCCAGCCAGGGGCTGCTGCGGGGGGCAGTGTGTGACAGGCACAGAGCCGGGTGTGTGTGATCTGCAGAGCCCTGGCAGTGCTGGGCTGGCTGCAGGGCAGAGGCACGTGGGGCTGCACCTGCACGTCTGGTGCAGAGCCTTGGGCACGGCACCGTGAGATTATCCTGCTTGCACTGGGCAATTCCCACCTGTCCTGGGACCTGTCCCACCCACACTCTGTGGCTGGGGTACCCAGCACAGCCAGGACACACCGGGCAGGGCTGAGTTTAGGCACAGGAAATCCCACTCCTGCCTCTTGTTGTTGTTGCCAAAGTGAGTGGTAGAGATTCAGGTGGTACTAACCATGGCTTAAGGGTGTTGAGCTAATTGTAGAGACACTTGAGCATGGCAAGCATGGCAGAGGGTTCTGTATATGTTTCTATTGATTAAACCATTAACAAGAATAGCAAATCCCATTACACTAATCATTATTTTCCTTCCCTTCCTTCTCCTCCCTCTTTGTCCTCCTCTGGATGCAATAAACACATGGAGGGAAATTTCTCACCTCAGGCTGTCTGAAACAGCTCCCAGTATCCAGTGTGGAGGTGGGCACTACCTGCTCAGGTTTCTGTGGAGCTGTTTCTGTGTCTGAGCCCTGCTCAGAAGAGGAACGTCAGGACAAAGTGTCCTCACAAACAGAGAGAGAGTGCCACTAGGGGAGTGACAGTGCTGCAGAGGATTCAACCCAAGGGGATCCTCTCTTACTATACTTACAGGCATGCAGACATCTATAAAGGAATAGATTAGTAGATTAGTTCTTAACATAATTTAAAGTGGTAAAAGGATGTGTTCATGTAACCAGCTTCCCTCTGGTTCTCCATCACCACTAACATTTAGGCTCTGTTGGGAAATAATTTTACAGTGTTGCCCAGGAAAATCTGTTCTATTTCAAGTCCAATTCTGTGCTTTCTTAGAAAGGTGCAAAAAATGGAAGTGTTGCAGTTGAGACTGAGGCAAAAGGACAGATCTTGGGTGATCCATTGTTTCTGTTCTGAGTTGCAGGACACGGGATTTGGTGCTAAAGCTATTTTTCTTTTAGCAGACTTTTATGCCCAATTACATTTTCATTAAATGGATCAAAGTGATCTATTGAAAAACATGTTGGAATTGTTGGATTTTTTCCTGAAAGCATTTATTAAAGCTTGGAATACTTTCATGATTTTCTGAATCTCTAATTTTAATGGCTGTATGCTTGGGGAGATGTGTCTAAAAAGATGTTGCCAGAATCTTTTGGCCAGGTTTGTAGGCTTGAGAAGGCAGTTGCTTTCATGTTTGTGTTACACGTTAGTAATGAAACATTCAGCACCATTGAAGGAGTTCAAATCCCTCATTGCCACTCAAATTAAAAGCATCTGGGCACTCAGATCCCTTAGTCAGCTTCAGCAGTCTGTAACTTCGGTGTTAGTTTGATATCGCTAATTTGTGTTAAACACACTTTTCAGTGCAGTTATATTATGATTTATCTCATGGTGCTATTGCCTCACTGTGATAATTTATGCTTGCACACAGTGGTTCCCTGTATCCCAGGGGACTGGAAAGCTTTATAAACAGACATAGGCCATTCCCAAGTCCTCGGGCCAGCAAAGCTTCCACTGAGGCCTTCAGGAGCTTTGCTCACATAATGCCTCTGATTTCAGACCCTGAGTACTGCGGGGTGCACAAGCAGGCACCGTCCTTTGCTTGAAGGTCACGTTGGGAGAGAAGCAGGAGCCATGCAGCAGCCCACACATGTCCCCTGCCGTATTTTGGAGGAGAAAAATAATGGTTATCAGCTGAAATTGTGCAGGGTTATGTGCACAGAATGGGATTTTGCACTGAGCGAGTTGACAGCGCTGGCTCAGAGCAGGATTCTGACTAAAGGAAACATTTCCTGGGATATTCTGCAGAATATATGGGTTTGGCATTATTCATGTAACTGGTTATTTGCCAAATGTGTGAAGACTAAAACCTCGAGCTTATAATTCAGGAATTTTCTGCTTTAGCATGTTCTCTCTCAGTGCTTTGATGTTACAGAATTAAAATGTTTGTTTCCAGAATGATTTGATATTAAGCTGGTTTAATGTCTTACAGGAGCTGTTTTGAAAGCTTTCCTTTTCCTCCCTGGATCCAGCTCCCTGGGAGGGTGACATCTCTTATCATCAGTCAGGCAGTTCTGAGTTGTGCCTTTAGATAATGAAAACCCAGCCCTAGCATTTTGCTTCCCAGCAGAGTTCTTCCTTTATTTCCTTTCACCCCCAGATGTTTTTTCCTCTGTGCATATCCCAGTGTGCACAGTACAGCACTGTAATGAACAACCCAAAATTTCAATGTCTTGGGGTTCTCTTCCTTACAGATTAGACTTGCAAGGGAGCTGCAGACCTGTGTCATGGTTCTGAAGGTGTTGTCTGTCTTCATCCACGGTTTTTTGTTGGCTTGCAATTGAAGTCACTGCTCATAATCCCCTGCTGCAAGGAGTTTGTCACTTGTGATCCCAGCTACGCTCCGTTTTCCATTGTGGTGTGGCAGTGCCAGTGTGCAGTGCCCGGTGGGTTGCCTTGCTGGCTGGAAGACAGCAGGAGGGTTTGAGCTCTTTGGGGCTGTTTGCTCATTTCCCTGGGCACGGGGTGCCCCAGCCCAGCTGCTGCAGTGGGCACTGGTGACACAGGCTCAGCCAGCTCTGTGCCCCATGCAGCATCAGAGCCTGCCCTGTGGCCTCACCCAACACTCAGCAGGCCCAAGGTGCTGCTGAGAGTCAGGCACCTGCAGGAGTGCTACATCAGAGCCAGGGACCCTCTCCCCTCTGGCCAGAAAAGATCACACTGCCCACTGGGGACGCTGGCAGGTCACATCATCAGCTGCCTGGCTTTTTATTTTCTGGTTTTAATTTGTTTTCTGTTTTCTCTCCTGTCCCAAAGCTTGGACCAGAGAATCACAGAGTGCTCTGGGCGAATCCTTTCAAGCAGGGATGTTGGGGACCATTTTGATTGCTCTTCCAGCCATGTGCTGGATGAAAGGGAATTCAAGGGCCTTTGGAGCCTGAAGCAGTGAGAATACAGGAGCTGGGGAGAGATGGTCCAGCAGTGAACAGATACAGGATATTTGGGGGTTGCCCTTTAAGGGTGACTATTGTGCATCTTAAAATCCAGCGAGGTGCTGGAGAGCAGTAAATGGTCTGCCTCAGTGCTGGAGGCTGAGCTGGCTGGTTTTGTGTCTGCTGCTGATGTGAGTGCACTGCTGTGCCCAGGGCTGGACTCCTCAGGGCCACACTGGGGCAGAGGGGCAGCGTCCCTGGGGTGTCACCGTGCTGCACAGGCTGCCCCTGGGCTGTCCCCCAGCCCTCTGCCACCGCTGGGACCCTTCCCTGCAGTGTCCCTGGGGTGTCACTGTGCTGCACGGGCTGCCCCTGCCTGGGCTGTCCCCCAGCCCTCTGCCACGCTTGGACCCCTCCCTGCAGCGTCCCTGGGGTGTCACCGTGCTGCACAGGCTGCCCCTGGGCTGTCCCCCAGCCCTCTGCCACCGCTGGGACCCGTTCCCTGCCCCAGCAGAGGAGCAGGAGGTGCAGGTTACCTCTGGCAGGTAACTGAGCTGGGAGGTGCTGCCTCACCTGTCACTTTCTGGGCTTCAGCAGAGGCACGAGCAGCTGTGGGCTTCTCTTCAGGAGAGTCAGGACACAGGTCACTGGGTGACACAGGACTGAGATGCAGAGAGCTGCTAATAGAAAAATGACACTAACTCAATAGCTAAAGATAACATTAATGCATCAAAAAAAAGCTTTTTTAGCACAGCCTCTATGGGCTTTGGATTCCCAGTGACCACCCTGGAGGTACTTGGGTATTTCTTGATTGTTTACCTCATCTTTCTGGCACATATTCCACATCTTATCACTTGGGAAAGGAGGAGATGCCTACTTTTTCCTGCTATTTCATGAAGGAGTATTTAGCTGCCTGCTCTTGCAGTTTTATTTTTGTTACTGCTCTTTTACGGGGTGCAGGGACCCCTTTTACGGGGTCCATCCCTTGCCCAGGGCCAGAACCTGCCTGTGTTGTGGAGGCTTGTACAAGCCCAGGGAACACCTTTCCAGTGGTGGCAGCCTCACAGAAGAGGTTTCACACACAGCTAAAATTAAATATTATTGCTTTTCATTTATAACTGAATAAGTTACTACAAATGAATGTAACATAAATAAAGCCATGCTTTAATTAGAGTGTTATTTCTAATCAGGAAGTCTTCCTTCCTACAAACAACTGACAACACAGCTCTTCCAAGTGCATGCTAAAGCCAGCAGTATTTTCCACAGGAAGAGCAAACCAGAGGAGAATTTCTGCCATCTGATAACAGCCTGGTGCTGCCAGTTACTGAACTGCATTTTGCTGATGGGAGCCATGGGGTTTTATTTGCTGTGTCAGGAGGAGGGAACTCAGCTGGTCCCTGGGACAGTGGGAGCTCTGCAGAGCTGATTTTGGGCGTGTTGGCTCTGTCCTACCCAGGTAGTCTGTTTTAAAAGTCCAGTCTGAAAGAGCAGCACTTTTCCAGAATATTAGCTAAAACCTTTAAAGCCCCACTTTAAGCTGTGTGGTGAGAAGTGGGCACAAACAAGGGCTTTGTTTTGAAGTTGTGGGGAGAATACTGAGCCAGGAGCGCTGTGCTGGCTGCAGCGTTGCAAAGGCCGTGCCCTGCTGCAGTCGGGGCAGGGTGTGAGCTGTACCTGTGCGCAGCAGGCGGTTCCTGCGGGGCGCCCTGGGAGCGCTCCTGCCCTCGCAGGACGCTTGTGTGTCCGCAGCCCCCTCGTCCCAGATCAGGATGGACGGCTTCCTCATCTGCCCGTACATGCCTGCCAAGCGAAGCACAGAGCAGGCTGGGAGCTCGGCCAGCTCACCCAGAGCTTTCCCAGCACCCGGGCACGCTGCTCCAGAGACGCAGCAGCCACTGATGAAATCCTGCCGCCTGTAACTCACTCTCATTAGGAACCCGAGGGCAACGAGCTCAATAGCAGCAGTCCCTGCTGTGCAACACTGCCAGCATGAGCAACAGAGCTGGTTCACAGGTAGCCATTCTCCCTTTCTGTCCGCTGAAATGTGTTACTACATTTCAAATCTTTAGTTTTTACCACTTCCTTAAAGTTGTTTTTGCAAAAGCTTTGGCAGTGTTTCCATCAGTTATACAAAGAGGCTATTCAGAATAAACAAGAGAAAGCTGTGTTCTATGAACAACCTATTGCACTTCAGAAAGTTCAGCAGCCCACTGGGAAGTCAGATTATTTGCAGAAGGTCAAATCAATTTTATGATCAGACAAATGTTAGCAAATTGCTTTTCTTAGAAGCAAAGCAAGGGAAGTATTTTCCAAGAAATTTGCTTGAGGAAAAATCAAATTACACTTATTAGAAACCATCCCTGAATGAGACCTCTTCTCTTTAAGGCGCTTATTTCCTTTGTAATGCCAAGCTATTACATCCAAACATCACACGGGGGCATATTCAGGTATAAAAGTTTTTTACTCAGTAGAAAAAAAATGAATGAGAGCTGGGGCACTTCTGTCTGTGCCATAGTGAATATCTTGGATTTTTTTTCTGTTTGCTTGTGTAACTTCAAAACAGAAGCCAAGGGGCTCTGACCCATAGAAACGCAGTGTGTGCCTAGGAGCCATATTTCTGAGGAACCTGGTGGCTGCTCCAGTGCATCCATGGGACAGGGAAGGCTGGGTGCTGTGGTGACCTGCTGCTTGAGGAAGGGCACTGCCTTGGAGAGAGGCAGGACAAGGTGTGAAGGAAGGAAGGCGCCTCCCTAGGGCTGTAGCCAGAGCCCTGGCAAAGCTCAGGTGACGTTTGCCTGGCCAAGCACTGTCCTTGTCAGCGCTGGCCGGGCTGCCCCTCAGGAAGCAGAGCTGGGAGCAGCTCCCCTGCCCCCTGCTGCCGTGGCTGAGTGGCAGAGTCACTGCAGTGACCTGTTCTGCATCGTGTCCCCATGAGTGACGCACGCAGACGTGATCCGTGCCCTGGAGCTGGTGCCATGAATCAAAATCTGCTCAGGGCTCTGAAGAGAGGCATGCAGAGAGCAGAGGGACAGTGGGAGCGCTCCTCCTGTCACCTCTGCTGCTGGCATCCAAACATCTGGGGGCTGGCCTGCTCTGTGTTATTGTAGACCTTTTCTTTAATCATTTTAGATTGTAGTTTATTCTCCTATTTCTGCCTGTATTTTTATTTTCTGGACCTTATTTATATAACACTGCAGTCTGCTGCTCCTGAATGGATGGATAAGGACCTGGTCCCTCCCTTTGCAGTTTGATACCTGGTAAATTAGTTAATGCTGGGTGTATGGGTATGGGGAATGCTCGGGAGTTTTCCATTAGTGTGTTTATTCATTGGAAAATGTGCCCTTCATAATTTAAAACAGGATGGAAATTCAAATCTCTGATGAGGACTAAAAGCTTTCCTGATTTTGTGCAAGTCTTGGATAGCAACAAAAGAGAGAAAATGCATTTTTAGTATATTTAATATGAAACCACAAAGGTGGCCCCAGGGAAGGAAAGGAAGGTAAGAGATCTGAAAGGAATTTTAGCTTTAGATTGGTGACACCTCAGTTAATTTAATAATGGCCACTTAAAATGGGAGTGGGCAAAACAAGGCTGTAATGAAAGGCACCTGGACTCCTACAGGAAAAGTGCAGTTCAGATCCAGAACAGGATTAGAAAAATCAAAAACTTTCTGGGCTACTATATTTTGGCTCTGCTGTAAGGTTTAAATGGACTTCTGTGGTGTTTGTTAGGTGTCTACATTGAGGACCAGGCAGAATGGGATTTAAATGAGATCTGGAGGGAAAAGGGAATGAGAGAAGCAGCCAGGTGTTGTGCCAGACAGACACATACAGGTGTAAATGTCTGGATTAACCACTGGGAATGGTTCTGTGGTGAGAAATGTTTTTGTGGGAGGAAATAGGAATACTGTTCAATAACAATAGTTATTGAAAGTAACTGTTTGTTGTGCCTCAGTCTGTTGATTTAGAAAGTTACATCCAATCAGGAGTTAGAAATTAATGCTGCCTGGCAGTGTAATTCCTTATCAGACAGCTCATAGATTGCAAGCTATCTGACCAAACCAGAGGAGTGAATGCTTAAGAATAAATGTAGTTCTAGAGACCAGGAGAAGGCACCCAAGAATAGAAGGGAGGTAATCCTTTTTTAAATGTTTTTTTTTATGACATAGTCAGAACAAATTATTTGACTAATGATAATGAAGCATCAGGTCTAAAATGTTTTCACCACCTGCATTTAAAATTCAATAATGTGTAAAACATGTTGATTTTTAACCCTCTGGTGGCAGATGGTTGCCTGGCCTAAACTGATGCCACTTTTTGAAGTCAGTATTTCTAAGTCAGCCTACCAAGGGATGAAATTCAGCTCTGTGTTGGGGTAATTAATAGCTTTAGTGCCATTGGCTGTACCTGGCAGGCTTTTCCCCTCAGGAAAGCAGAGGATCCGTGCAGTGCCAAAGCAAAGCTCCAGGGCTGAGCTGACCATGGACCTGGCCAAGTGCTCTGTCCTGCTGCAAGGAGAACTCCACACAAGAGTTTGTTCTGGTCCCTCTTTTCCTGCTGAAAATGCCACACAATCCTTCTGTGTTACCTTGGAGTTTGCAGCACAAGTGTTGGGAAAACAGTCTGTTAAACAGGCAATATGAACAGAGTAGATTTAAAATAAATCATCTACTCAGACGTTGTGTAACCACAAAGATAATTTATTTATATTAGGGAAGTATTTAATTATCATATACAGAAGTGTTCCAATTATCATATACAGAAGTGTTCCATTTTTATGCACATTCAGTTTTACCGCATAATTCAAATTAAGTCTCTGAGCATATGTGTTAGAACTGTTCAGCAGGTTTCTGTCTCCAAACAGTGTAATATGGGAAAGCAGAGCTGCAGAAATATTTTCTCTCACTTGATTCCCTTTCCCTGTTAAAACTGACCTCTAGAAAGCTTTTCTGAAGGACTGAGGTAAGGGGTAGAGTAAAAGCATCCAGGTGCACATGCACACTTTGGCAAACTGCATTTTTTGGAAAAGACACAGATTTGTAGAACTCTTTGGGCTTCAATCCTCGTATTTTTCAAAAACATTTTCTGATCAGAAGCTGCCCAGCTCTGGTTAATAAAAGACAGCGTCTCTAAACTGCAAAGCTAATCTCTTGTCTGGGAAGTTCTTAAATTAGTGTAAAGGTTATGTTACACCTGTGATTATTTCCAATGGCTTCCAGAATCAGAGATTAGTTTAGCATCATGCATAAGTGATAAATAAATAGCTTCCCAGATACTTTGGGTTTATTTTCCTTTGCAGGGTCTCCAATCCTGCCACTGCAGTTGCATGAAAAGGAGTTGATCACTTGTTTAAAGAATGACATATCATAAATACAGATGTCTTTTTGGCAGTCTCTAAAAATACTCTTCAGTCTTGTGTGGTGTAATGATTGATGCAGTTTGGAAATCAAACTCTTGTCTTGTTGTAATCTTGTTGTAAGATGAACTTGTGGTTTAGGACTAAAATTCACATGAGCTAAGTGGGGGCAGTGTGAAGAGGATGCTGGTTTAGGATGCTAAAAATGGCTTCTGGCAGAATTTAAGAGCCAGTCTAACATAAGCATCCAACTGCCTGGGCTTTGTTTGGTTTCTTTTTGGGAAATGCTCCACTTCTGTTCCTGTCTGCAAACAGCAAATTTAGA